TGCTCGCATGTGTGATTGCCCATCTCCTGGTGAAAGGAAAGGAAAGGAAAGGAAAGAAGGTGGCCAAATCTTTCCAAACAGCACAGAACAGAAGCCGAGCCGCATAATTATTGGGAAACTCTTTTGTCGGTTCTGGGGCGTTTGAAGTGAGCAGCAGCCGCTGCCAGAACTCAAATTCGGACTCGTCCACTCTCCTTTGCCGCTTATCTTGGCCAGGAATTTGCAGAGCCAGAAGCATGTGTGTCTTTTCATATGTGCTTCAATTCGGCCCTAAGTGGGTGTCAATTTACCAATGATCCGGCATATGGAGAGATCAGACCACATTCATACTTGGAAAACGCTGGTTATCGGCCTAGTTGATCTGGAAAAGTGTGCCAGAAGCCTGCTCTTCCTGTTCCCAATTCCTGTTCCGATGGCAAAAGGAGTTGCCGTCTAATCCCATCCTATCTGCGCCATGCTTCCGCCTCGGGGCTTAATAAAGCGAAAAATTCTGAGATACGAAACTTGACTTGGGACCTTTATATGCGGTCTGTGTGGATTGCTAGTTCTCCCCTGCTTGACCAAAAACGGAAGGTTTTCCCTCTGCTCTGTCGGTATATTAGATTATGAAACAAAATGTCAAACAAATCCTGGCATATCTCCTTCTGCCCTTGCAGTTGTTTGATTACGTCCACAAGCTGTCAAGGATATTGGATAATTTAAGCAACTATATCTATATGTATTTGACTCTGTATGTAGTGCTGTATCTCAATCTGTGAGTGGGGTCGTATCTCTACCCATGGGTATGCTGAGTGAGTTGCGGTTGCCTGGCCAACCTCGGCAGTTGCTCATTTGCTGCCGTATACCGTATATTTCATTTTGCCAGGCAGCAGTGGAGGGCTCCAACTTTCGCAGACTACATACATACATATGTATTCCAAGCCAAAGGGGCTTGCAAAGCGAGTTATCGTGGTATTGGTAAAGTCGTTCATTGATCGAATGCTAAATAGGGGGTGTCGGATGGACAGTCGTTCATGACAATCGCCTAAAAGTTAAAAATATCCATCATGAGATGATAAATCAATTAGTTTGGGCTAGTCAGGCTAATTTCCCTCCTTTTGCTTATCATAATTGCAAAAACAAATCCCTTTCCCCAGTGCTTCCCATTGTAACCGCTCAAAACGATGTCAGTGGCAGCTATTTAGCACACTCCCCCCGCCCCATTCACCGACTTAAGCCCGCCAACAGCGGGTAAAAAGTCAAAATTAAATATCCCAGCTATAAGAAAGCTATCAGTTTACCTCGAGCCCGCTCCCATTTTCCTGCCATAGCGAAAAGAAGGGGACGAATATCCGGCAGACAATGGCAGGCAGAGCAGACTGTGAGTAGACGAAAACTTTTTAGTTGGATTATGTGGAGGGTAAGACTGAAACGCACGCACAGATACACACATACATATATAGTATCCGTTAGATACTTACCCCTCCTTTGTCTCTGCCATCGTCTCTGCCCACCCACTACCCACACCCACTGCCGCACAAAGAACAAAATTCGTTTTATTACTTTGATATATTAGATTTAATGGTTAAGAAAAATGTTGCCAACAGCAGCCAACCCCCAACCACCCTCTTGCCACCCACCCCACCACCCTTCCGCGCACACAACCTGCCTCCCATCTAACGCTGTCTTTTGTGAAAAGTGGGTGTTTGTGGGTTGTTGTCGTCGTTGCAGTTAACCTTATTAAAAGGTGAACACAGTCATGGCACCAGAGAGAATTGCCACAATGTGTTTACACGCAGCTGCCAGGGGTGGGGTGGGGGTGGAGTAGGCTGGAGATGGGGCTGCGGGATGGGGTAACACGATAATGACCTCGTTGGCCCAGAACCCCCCACGAGAGAGTGTGGGTGGAAAGATGTAACATCCAATAAGCTTTCGCCTCTACTGCGCAAGACCCAGGAGAAACGCAACAGGAGAGAGGCAGGACTGCCGCAGAGAAGCACGGAAGAGAGACCATGGAAGTTAATAGAGAGAGAAGTGAGAATAGACATAGAGAGCGCGTAGAGAACTGCCTCCCATCCCCAAGCTGCTGGGCTAATTTAGAAATTACAATCAAGTGTAGTCTTCAATGAGTTTGAGTTTGACTTTGATTCAATTTGTCATTTCACACTTCGGCTAAATGGCTTCCAGTTATCACTTTGCAGAAGGGGGACGGTCGGAGGGGCAAGTAGGGGGGCTAAATTAGTTGAAAGCGGTTAGAAGAACAATCAGAGAAGGCTTGAACGTGAGAAGGCTATTATCAGCATTGAAGAGGCAAACGATTCTTGATATCTGCCAAGTGGGGCAAGTCTTCAGGCTCTGGAGATAAATTAAGGCATGACCTGGGCTAGATCAGAATCGGACCAATTAGTGATCTAGCGAACAACCCCCCTCCACTCCGCCCTGGTTAGCCTAATGAGCCATGATTATGAACGATTATGGCTAAGTGCGCTGCATGATGCTGCATAATTTTTTGGCTGGCATTATGCATTCCACATTAGATCGGAGATTACGGGGCAGAAGATCTGGGATCGGGGATCGGGGATCTGGACAGGTAGGCTCAGAGCTCGCCCTCCCCCTAAGGCCTCTTTCTCTGTCGTTCAGCTCTAAATTAAACGAACATGCAATCGGATTTCTGAATGAAATCTGCATAGGGACGGCATCCTATGAAAATATGATTAAGCGCCTCGGCTTGGCTAGTTTTCCCCTTAAGCAAACATACCCAGGTCGAAGCCTGTGTCCTGTGGCGTCACCCATCTGGCAAATTAATGAGGTCCCTGCTACTTGTTCGCAGTTCTGCGGAAATTACGTGTTCCTGATCCTGATTCGGAGTGCCTGGCCGGAGGTGCCGCGATCTTTGGCTTTGTTTGGGTTCGGGCCACAAAGGAATTGTGTAAGTTTCGACAAATTAGAGAGGATCAGTCCCAGTCCTCGTTTTGTCGGTATTGTCAGCGGCGTTTCGCATTGTGCGGCGGGTGCATCGGCGACCTCAGACGCGACACCGACACCTTTGGCTGCCCTTTGTATTATGCAACCTCCGACAGGGCTAAACACTGGTAATAGGGAAAAGCTTTCCCCGAGAGCCGTGTCTAAGCTGTACTTAAGGCCATTCTTTGTTTTCAGAAAAAATATAGCCAGGATTAAGATTAGTTTAGATTTTCGAAAAGATAATAAGGATTGAAGCTAGTCCTGTAGCTAAAAAGCTTCCTTAAGAATTGTCCCCTACTTAGTAATTAAAATGTTGTTCCTTTAAATTTAAAAAAAAAACCAATCGGAAGAGTAAGTAGAGCAAATCCCTGAGGAACAAGGTAAATTAATAAAATCTAGCAAAACTTGTTAGAGGGTTTCCACGGTATTGAAAATGATCAAATAGTAGCTCATCATATACTTAAACCGTTCAAAAGAGTATCTAGTGTTCAACTACTGGACTTTTCTATTTTATTTCTATTTCTATTCTATTATGTTATATTCTATTCAACACTTGCAACTTTTATGAATCATTCGACCTTTGGACTCTACATTTTAAGAGAGACTTCATTCGTACAACTTTATACTTCTACCACAAAATGAAATAGGTAATATGGCGATGTATATATCTCAGATCTCAAGAGCAAAACCCTCAAAGATCGCTACAGCTACAGACAAAAAAAACATCCTAGTACTAAAGGATACATAAATATTCATTTGAATTATCTGCAAAAAACAATTGAAGAAATAAGTCTATCAATAAAATAATCCTTTTTTGCGAATTGAGCCCTACTGAACCATTAGTAGATCCCCTTTCGCCCAGTCGAGATATTCTAAGGGCAGATCACAGATCAGGTCTGATCTGCTGAGATGAGATCAGTTTAATCAATGAACTTAGGTCAGAATCCCGCGGCATCTGCCTGCTAAGTAAAGGGATTCATTGATCGTTTGGATTGTTCAATGAAACCCTGGGCTCATTCCCAAGCTCGGGAGATCACGAGGATCCCGCAGATCCAGTTTTCGCCCAAATGGAAGCGGAACTAATAAACGTTGTACCGGCAAATGGCTGACCCGCTCAGGTAGGGATTTCTGAGTGTCGAGCAACCTGTTTTGCGATTTGTGGATGTTCATATTCGGGAAGGGTAGGCTAAAAAAGAGCACAGCCCGACTGAGGGACAGAGAGAGAGATAAAGGTACTCCCTCTCGTATGGGCATAAAGATAGTTTTTAATGAGCGAAATTTGTGAAATAAATAGTTTTAATCAGCAAACTATGTTGGTCGAATAAAAGAGAGAGTATCGTAAAAGAGGAAAACAGTGACAGAGAGCGTGAAAGAGTGAGAGGCAGCACTCGACGAAAGAGAGGGAGAGAGAGAGAGAGAGTGAGTGGCAGGACAGAGCAACACCCCTAAACAAAAGCTACCTGTAAGTGCACGCACACGAACAGATACGGCGCACACAGATACTGGGGGAAACTACCCCTAGTGAAACAGAGAGAGAAAGAGCGAGAGAGTACGACAGAGATAGATATGGCCGAAGCGAAGGATTGGGAACTGGCAGCGAGCGAGAGTCGGCCTCAGCCTCGCCCATTTCATTCAGCCCAACGGCACTTGCAGCACCAGCAACAAGAACAACAGAACTACCATCGGGCAACAACAAGAGGCAAGCAAACGTGGCACGTATTTAATGCAACGGTGGCACAGGAGACGGGCTCAGTCGGTGGTTGTTGATCGTCACGAGCGTTACACGCATTCGCTCCTGCCTCAGCACAGTCCTGTTCCGTTCACCTCTGCCTAGCCACAGTCCTGCTTAATCGCACTAGCTGTGGAAACCCTATCAATCAATATCGTACAGAGAGCATTACAGGAGGCATTAATTAATCAGTCGCCGCGCGTGCAAGTCAACACAACAAATTCTGTGAAATAAATAAAATACGAAATTATATTAGAAAGAAATTTTCAAAAATAATCAACAATAATTTGGTTACTAAAAAGTGCACGGAAACAATTTTCGACAATCGATTATTAGTGGTTCGTGGATCCAGCTGCTTCAGCCTGAGCTCTCATTGAGCTATGATGACCACAACGACCACACAGCACCACCAGCACCCCATCATGCCGCCAGCCATGCGTCCCGGCTCCGTCCAGGAGAGTCCCGTTTCGCGTCCTCGCGCCGTCTACAGCATCGATCAGATCTTGGGTAATCAGCACCAGATCAAGCGCAGTGGTAAGTCATATATTTATGAGCTTCGGTGGGATATAGATTTTTGATGGTGAGGATAATATCGATTGCCGTCGGTGATCTGTGGGGCAAAAGCATATTGACGATTGTCGGGTCTTTGCAAGTTTGAAGAATGACATTTATAATTGAAGACTATTAAAATTTGTGAAAAATTAGATTACATTTAAAAGCTGTAGCCTTGAGACTTGCCATTCCGTTAAAATATGATTTTTTCAACGATTACATATGTATGTAATATATGTACTTTAATCGCTTTAGATCGTTTTATTTGAATAATTGTAAACGTAAAATACTATGGTTCGTTTGCTGGTTGAGGAGTTCTGACGATGCTTATCACGATTGTAGTCCTACCAATCAGTTTTCCTGTAGAGATTAGAACCCTTTGTCTTCAGTAGAGAGCAGTGCCGGTCAAGCCAAACTTATATTCTTCTTCTCTTATAAAGCAACAATATTTAGGACAGATGAAGAATATCGTCTGGTCTTTTGTATTTTGAAGTAGACTATTTTATTTATTAACCTTTATTCAACTTATGATATTGAGTAAATGCATGGAACTTTGTTTCAATGAGGAGTTCTATCATTCTTCCAAACATCATTTTAAATTTTCCATTGACGATAGTTCTTAAGTATAGTACTATATTTCCGAATATCTTGTTACACCAAGGAGTATTTGTGGGTACGGACAAACATAGTTTAAGCCTGTACCCAATAATCAGCCCCCACTAAAACTGGTAACCACATCAAAGATATATTCGGACACACAGGGGACAGGAATGGGGACCACAATCCGGGCTGACCCATCTCAAGGACCCATATCATATGCAAATTGCTTGGAAAGGACATTTTGTCGTAGTTAGTGTGGGCATAGAATAAACTTAGCAGCAAACATCATCCCGAAAACTCCCGCAACCAGAGAGAAACAAGAAACATATCATGACAATGGGAGGTGTCTGCCATGTTGAGACTCTTGCTGTGGGCGTGGCCAAGCGGCATGAGGCCTCACCCAAGGATCGGTGAATAGCTGGGAAAGAAGGGAAAAAATCACTGTGTAGCAAAACATATCTGACAGGATACGCCACATGTATCATGGACAACGAGGCAGAGACTGGGAGAGAAAACCAATTGCGTCATTAGACCCATAATTAGATTGAAGCGCTTTGGGTGGATGGGATGGGGACAGGAACCGAAGCAGGAACAGAATCATGGACAAGGAACAAGGGAGCAGGGACCAGGAACGGCTACAATTTGGCGACAACGAGCAACGTGCGCACCGCAGGATACTGCATCCTGTGAGCCTCGATTGCTGTCGCGTAATTTGATGCTCGCTGGAAATTACCTTTTCGCCACAACAGGCTCTGGCGCGGGCTTGGTCTCCGGTTCTGTCTGCATAAATGTTACGAAATACGATAAGGACGACAGGGTATCCTGCTGAGCGGCGACGTGTCCTTGCGCTATTGTGAATATGATTAATTTGAGGTTCATTAAAGTTTGATTACACGTTACTCGTTCGCTCTGAGGGAAATCTTTTTGAAAAACTTTTACCCGATTTCGGCCTCGGGCGTGTGAAAGGATACTCACACCAGACTCATATCCGAGTCGGGAATCGGGAATCGGGGTAAAGCCAAACCGTATTTATTTATTTGTTATTGATTGCCAAATCAATTCGCGTAGCTTTCGAGCTCTTGAGGCTCTCGCAAGTGGAAAGGTTTTGCTTTTTTGAAGCGGCTCTGTGGACTGCTCTGACCTGGCTCTGGGGGTTAAAAGTCCCGGATATAACTACTTCAGTTACAATTGAATGAATTTCGAAAGTGTTCTGGGCCGCAGCTGGCGCAGCTTTCATTTTTCAAAGTCAAACGCAAAACTTTTTTGTTCGAGGCGGCACTCGAGTTCAATTCGAAATTGTTTAACTTTTTCCATTCTCTGCCCTTTCAGATACACCCAGCGATGTGTTGATTTCGCATCCCCATCATGGCCATGCCCATCACATCCATCACTTGCACCACAACAACAGCCACATGTTGCAGGAACAGCAGCACCAGCAACAGCATCAGCAGCAGCAGCAGCACCAGCAGCCAGCCCAGGCCAAGCGCGAGGATTCACCAACGAACACGGAGAGCGGTCTGGACGTGGACAACGATGACGAGCTCTCATCGAGCCTCAACAACGGCCATGATCTGAGCGACATGGAGAGGCCGCGCAAAGTCCGTAGGTGAGTCCTCGATAGAGTTGCCGCAGAGTATGGGGCAATCCGCTTAGCAGATCCAATCGTTTTTGGCCATTGTTTGGCTATTAAAAAACATGAAAACAAAAGTAGAATCCTTCGCTCCTTCCATCTATCTATCTATCCATCCATTTACCCCGCTAATGTGCCGACTTTGATTTCGCAGATCTCGCACAACATTTACGACCTTTCAATTGCATCAATTGGAGCGGGCCTTTGAGAAGACCCAGTACCCGGACGTGTTCACAAGGGAGGATCTGGCCATGCGCCTGGATTTGAGCGAGGCGCGCGTGCAGGTAATTGAAATACGAACTCTGCTGTCGTAATTATTTTCGAATTAAGCTAAACACCCCCACCCATGGAAATTCACCGGCTAACCGTAGTCGAATGCCCATAGAATCAGTAAAAATTTTAATTAGCTGACAAGCTTTAACTCGTAATTCATCAAACTTCGCTGATATACTTCAGGCAGCAGAACGCCAACAAAACGTCAACAAAACGATTGCAAAGCGATAGCTTTGGAACGTCTGGGAACGCGGAGAGGTCGCTAAGCCCGTCGAACAATCGGTCGAGCCCAATTTGTAAATGGTCTTTGAAACACTTAAACCCCACTTTGTACACAAACACGCTTAGATCTAGTCGGAGGGTTGTCGCCGCGTCCTTTTTAGGGGTTGTCTTTGTCCCAGGGACATTAGATATTGTGATTTTCCAAATGATTAAATTGGTCGCGCTCACATGGTGTTGGTATTTTTATTAACTCTACTTTTGGGTAAACAATTAAAGTGGCTCTGGGTCCCGTCTCCCTGTCTGTCTCCCTCTCTGATGCTGCTGCAGGACACGCGGCAACCATACACACAGATGACTACACATGTAATTAGGGTGTCCTTTCGCATGCCTCTCTCTCACATACTCGTACAATTTGATTTCGGTTGAGAATGCTTTCAAACACTTCAGTTTTGATTGAGCGATTTGCCCGATTTTGCCGCTGTTGTTGACGGGGGAAAAAAGTATCGCAATCGCACAAAAAAGATTTCAAGAGAATGTAAAACAACTTGACCTAAGCACTCTCGCGCTGGCTCACAGAGGGATTACGGACTCTGCATACAAATTGTCCGTTTCACGGTCGTCATCCTCATCCGCATCGACATCCTCATCGCGATGCGATGTTACTGCTGGCGAGCCCTCACATATCTGTTAGCAGATTAACTGTAATTGGTCATTGATTCCTATATGCGAAGAGCGTTTTTTGGGGTCCTTCAATACATACGAGTAGAAGCAGATTTAGAGCTGGCAGCTTGCAGCGTTTCTTTTTTTTTACCGGGTTTCTGTTTGGTTTTCTACGTGATAGATACAAAAGTATCTGTAGCTTAATCCCCGTTTGTTCTGGGGTTGATGAGTGGGCAATTATTTCAGGATTTGCATCCGTGCTGAGCGGCATCCCAGAAAAAAAAGGAGTAAGCAGCTTTCTAACTCCTGGGGTCAGTCGAATTTGTATGGCAAAGCTTTCAGAAATGTATTCAAAAATTTTCCAGCAGGACTAAGGTGTACTCCAAACTTTAACAACTGTTTGGATCCTTACGGTGTACACTGCACAGCTGTTATGGGTATGGGTTGGGGGCTTTCTGTGACAGTTTGATGATCGCACATGTGCGATAAATGCTGAACGGATATCCGCAATTCAACTTCTGCCGACTCGCTGCTCTCGCACAGTGGTTTAAGTTGGTCCGCATCATAATTGCAGCCAACTGACAATTAAAAAGCCCACAAAATCATACACACACACACACACACACACACACACAAAAGCGGGAGACCGTTGCGGGTGGATGTGGGTTGGCGTTGGCATTTCCCAGCAGACACACAGGACCCGGGACAGGACACAGGACAATAATTGGCAGCAATTATAGCAAGGAAATCGTTGCTAATTTACTACTCGCTCAACTGCACACATTGTTGCAAATGCTGGCAGGACAAGGAGCAGGAGCAGGAGCAGCAGACTGGATCCTGGGGCTGGCCTAAGTACAGGGTGTCTATAATTGCAGCGACTCCTCTTTTGTCTCAATCCTGCCCCGGGTACAGTCAGTTGTCGAGTGATTTCAATTTACAAACAATTAATTTTCCCATCGGCTCGGATTGAAAATGTGTGCCCCCAAAGCGGAAATGTGTGTGCAGCCAACGCCCATTGCGGTGGTGGGGGGATGGTGTTGCAGGGTGGTCAACCCCAAGCAAGTGCCAAAATTGCATAAGACACCCTTTGCAGCATTCCAGAAAGAGAATGAGGCTGAGAGAGAGAGAGAGACAGGGTGGGAGCGTTGCAAATCAGAGTACAACACTTCCGATTGGATGCCATTGTATTTGGCATCTCTCCAGCCCACTCACAACTCTCCGCTTCACCTTCCTCCTTCTGGCTCAGACATTTGTGGGAGGAGTGTGAAGTGGATGGATCCCAATCGAAGGACTATGTGGCGTGAACTTTTCGAACTTCCAGATTGATAGATTGCCAAATTGTTCAGCTTTGGTCAAAGTCAAAGCAATCACAAGACGTTCGACAAGTTGCAAGTCAATTTAAAGTAGTCAGAAATCGACTTTGTGGTATTGTTTATCCTTAACGGAGCACTAAAGGCAATAGAAGCTAAACGAAAGGTTTAATATCGGGTTATTCTTCGATCTTCGGCTTCTTGCATCTATTTGAGATTCCTTGAAATATTGGAATCCATACTGCTGTTGGGAGAATCTACCTAGAACCTAGACACTCACAATTGTAACATATTTGGTATTAGTCACTCTCACAGCATAAACTCAATATACTCGCAGGTCTACGGGGTAGCTTACATTTGCATACACTCAGCTCCAACTCTAAACTTTGTTCTTTCCGTGCACTTGCAGGTGTGGTTCCAGAACCGTCGGGCCAAATGGCGCAAACGTGAGAAGTTTATGAATCAGGATAAGGCCGGATACCTCCTGCCCGAGCAAGGTAAGTCCTCCCGTTACGCATTTGATTTGTCCGCAAATTACCGAATTACGTGTGCAACATAATTAGCAATTATGTCGTACTCCCACTCCCAGCTCCGGCGCACTGCCGCCCTGTCATACTGTCACCAGCCCTCGACTAACGAACTCGCCTATGCTCTCATTCCAGGTCTGCCAGAGTTTCCGCTGGGCATTCCCATGCCGCCGCACGGCCTGCCCGGGCATCCGGCCGGGCTGCCCGCCGAATTCTGGCCCCCGCACTTTGCCCTGCACCAGCACTTCAATCCGGCCGCCGGCCTCCTGCCCCAGCATCTGATGGCGCCCCACTACAAGCTGCCCAATTTCCACACTCTGCTCTCCCAGTACATGGGTCTGAGCAATCTGAACGGCATCTTTGGAGCCGGAGCCGCGGCTGCAGCAGCAGCGGCGGCCAGCGGATCGGCAGCAGCGGCTGCGGCAGCTGCCGGCTACCCCCAGAACCTATCGATGCACGCGGGCCTGTCCACTGCCCAGGTGAGTCCGCCGTGCAGCAACAGCAGTCCGCGGGAGAGTCCCAAACCGCTCGTGCCTCATCCCCACGCCACGCCACCCTCGGGTGGAGGCACCACCCTTATCTCGGGTGGCCTGATGCTCACTTCGACGGCAGCCCAGTCGCCCTGCAGTGCAGGTGGAGCGAGCAGCAACTCCTCGACCCCCGTGTCTGTGGTGACCAAAGGCGAGGACTAACTTCGCGGTGATATTTAGCCATACGGAAACAGAAGGATGCGGAAAAGCGATCGCCATGTACATACACATCACATATAAACACATGCATTGGGAGGGGACGGATATACCGCATTGTAAGATATCTAAGAGCGTAGCCTATTGCCAAAATGAACTTAGTCCTAACATGTACACACATATTGTTTATCTGTAAGAGATCTAAAATTATTATTAGCCCCAGCAAGTGTCATGCAATTAGCCATAAAGCCGAAATCAAGAAATTTATCTGAGGAAAACAAAAATAAACAAAGTGAAAACAAATCATGGTGAATTTTTATGGGTAAATTTGTATTGTTCGAAGGAAGGTTTCGCAAAGAGACAAATGCAAAGGTAAGTACTATCGCGAGGGACAAGAATCGTTTGCAAGAAGCACACGATTGCAAATACTCTTGTGTGTGTCTTTTTATCTTAAAGTAGTCCTTATGAAAGCTGTAGTCATATTGGATTCGTATAGATCGGACCAGCAGAAGCTAAAGCAAAATGGCCAGGCTCTGCTGTTTATAAGGAGATATATGCATATACGACTCTAAACCTCTTCAGGTTTGTCAGGATCTCACAGTAATTATATTACTTTCAAATAAGTTTACGAAAACATTTTTGTACGGTTCCAATCAACAACTGACTACCACTGACTTGGTAGTCACCAATCAACCATATCTGCTGGCAGTTTACTTCTGGAAAATAACCATAGACAAAGTTAATCTCTTTGTATATTTCCGTTAACCTAAGACACTTTTTCATTTCTGCTCCACTAAAAAATAATCTGCAAAATGTTTCTACCTTAAGCAGGGATTATGACCCTACGGGATCTCACTATAAATTGCCAAATGTTGGCTACAATTGACGCGACCTTACCATTGATCGAGTCAAATGAAAATGATCTTCATCAGAGACCAACCCCCGGCAGGGTCTTTTGAATGGCTGGGCGAGAGGAGTTCAAGTCGTATAATAATCTCGATATTATGCCCAATATTAAGAGGCCCAGGCAGGGGGAAGAGGAAATGTTGCACAACATGTGAAGAGACGGCGAAGAAGTCGTCCAGAGGAAGCACAATGGGAGAGAAGGCATCTCGTATTGTGTCCGGACACGGCGGCAGACAGCAGTGGAGGAAATGTCGGCAGAATGCAATTCTAAAGGATGTGTGAGCCAAAGGATTTGCACCGAACTCAAGTGGTGGTGGAAGAGGGAGAGAGACAGAGATATAGGGCTAGATCGAGATTAAGAGGGAGAGTCCTTTTGTAGTGGGCCGCCTGCAGAGCTAAATGCTATATTGATATCTCGTAATTTGTGCCATAATTACTTTTTAATAATTTCGCACAGGGCTCTGGGCTCGCGGCAGGATGTCGCATTGTGTGTGCAATGGCCTCAAATTTAATAATAAAACGCCGTCAAGTTCCTGCTCAGGCTGCTCTGTCTGAAAGGCCGGGATTTGGGTTGGAATTTGATTACACTTACCATTCGCTTCGCCGTGTCCTGCCCGATCAGAGTCCTGTGCGAGGTCAGAGCTAAATTCCCTGCACAAATACAAACACACCATAATAATGAACGAATTGCGCGACTTAACGGATTTGTCACAGCCAAAGGACTGGGCCGGGAAGTCGCCGACAGCGACTCAACCTTGCCTCAGAGGCGGCGGCGGAGGCGGAGGCAGAGTCAGCATCAGCACTGTCAAAAGAAGCTTTCATAAAACTCATATGCAATTGCCTTTTGTGGCTGTCCTTTGTGTGGAAGGTAGGAGAAGACATCCGGCGAGTGGAAGGACCTGCACGGCTTTATACTCTTTTTAGTTATGGAGAGTATGACACATAAGAAATCGCTATGGCAACGGTTTCAGACAGTTTTATTCAGAATATCTGAGCTTTAAAATTGTCTATTTTGGCTTTTAGATACCTCATTTTCGTAGTTCATTTATATTCATCCTTCTCAGAATGTGATTCGATAGAGCATTCCATCTTGCGACTTGTTCCGTTCGCATTTCATCTTGTTTCTATCAACGAAAATTCAATAAGTTGAAGTAGATCTTTTATTTGTGCAAGTGTTTGGCCAAGGAGGAGAGGGTTGGTTGGGGCCCAACGCCGGGAGATGGGTAAGGGGTAAGCCGCCCATCCACGATTCGGGCCAAAATGTCCTTGTGTGTCCGGGTGTGGCTGTGTGCTCATGGAATTTCATTCAGTGTGCAAATGCAGCGCGTCACTCTGCGGGCTATAAATATATGAAATTTATCAAGTGGCCTTTTGAGTTTCGTATTTGTGGCTCTACGAAATTGAGAGACGAGTGCCTCTTCGTATTTCTCCCTTTTCGTCGCAGTATTTGTACTCGGCTCAGTGGAATTTCACCTTGTCCTGTCCTATCGGGACATGTCGTGTCCATTGGTATATAAATTGAGCTCGATTTTGATGAGCAAAATACTCTCCAGAACGTCCAACACAATGGGTAACGAAAATCAATTTCGTCCTCGACACTCGAGCGCATTAAAATGGTAACAGTTACGCAAAACAAGAGACCGAGTGGACCGCAGGAGGTTCGGCGTGCGGGTGCGCAGCTCTCGAAAAACTGGCAACATTTTCGAAGTCTCAAAAGAACCGTGAACGCGGTGGCCGTAATGAGCGGCAGTTGATGAACTTGCGCGTTGCTGAATACAGCGGTAATTAAACAAGTTAAATCCGCTCAACAGACGCTCAGAAAATACTTCTGCTGGCAGAGGGCCCTCTGCCTGGGTCCTTGTCCTGCATCCAGACACGGCACTGTTGACAGTCGCATTTTCGTGTTCATTTCATTTGGCTACTGGCAATTGGAAGCGCTGCGTTCGTTAGTAGTACTTAAAAAATTATTTCGCATTTAATTCATTTCATCAGAAGTTGCCAGAGGAATAATTACGCAGATTGTCTGGCTTTTGTGGGTGGCATTGAATGGATGCCTGAGCAGTGCCGTGCCCCTAATGAGCGCCATTTTGTGGCAGCAACAACAGAAAGAGAGAAAGGGCAGCGAGGCGGCTCAGTAATTGCTGTAATTTGTGACCACTTGAGAGGAATCACTCTGAGAGACTGAGTATCGGGTGCCCCTGATCCCTGATTGCTGATCGTCTAAAAATAAATTGCCAACATACCGCAACATGCAATCGCAAACGAAAACATTTCCGACAGGATATCTATCGTAAGTATGTTGGCGACAACCGGGAAACACGATACTTTTGTGTCGATTGCCGATCCAGCTCCTGCTAAGCATTTCAAAGCGAGCCGACACCCAATCCCCTCCAGCTAAGACTCCTCAAGAGATCGCTGAAGGTGAGGCGAAGAAATGTCCTTTCCTTTGCTTTCGTTTCCATTTATGTCCTGCCTGCCTGCCTGCGTGCCTGCCTGCTGACTTCAATGAGGCTAAGCCGTGCCTTATTTATCGCTCGCTGATCGTTGGCCAAACAGCTGATCCCACTCTCAGTAGATGTCCCCTCCGGGCTGTGATTAAAGAAAGAGCAGTGGCCCCGTGGTTTTTGTTTACCGATTTTAGCCATAATGGTTTCATGCCTGATTTGCTTGATGCTTGGCCCTTGGCCCTTGGCCAGTTCAGGTAGCGCGCTCAAGCAGCTGCTCCTGGACAGCCAATTGTGTTCTCATTAGCCAATGGTCTGGTCGGGCTGAATGTTGTGACACTTTTCTTTTATATACGAATGTATTTTCAAGCGAGTATATGGACAGCATTCTCCATTTTGCAACGAGATACATAAGTACTTTGCACATTGCAAATATACATATGTATACAAGTAAGCTAGTTTCTTTCCGATTGGTATTAGATTTCTTAGAAAAGTCCATAAGTCAATCTCAGATTAGACAGCTCGAAAAACAGGTGGTACTGTTTCAAATCTGTCATCCATCTGATATCAAATTTGATTTGATCATGACCATAGATCAATTCAATTTCCGATTTTAGTTCGGTGATAGGCACTTGCTCAAGCTCTGTTCATCACACAGCTTAGAGTCAACAGTATATACGTAGTCAGGAAAATGATCGATAGCTATATAATCGCATTTCAGGCTGTTAACCGTGCTCATGGCCCTAACTATAATAATAAATTAAGGAAACAAACAAATATATCAAACGAGCTCGGAGTGAAAACAACGGCGAAAAAAGAAATACTATTAAATTAAGTTAATCAAATGTATGCGCTGTGAAATTAAGCAGCTGCCGGGTTGGGCTCGGGGTCTATTTGCATTTCCACCTTGCCGACACCCTCTACACAACCACAGGCTCATAAATTACATTAATAAAAAGGCCAATGGCAACAGACCGCGCGGGGGAGGGACGAGAAATCCATGTGTGTCATTGCTGTTAAACTTTGTTTGCATTTTGTTTATTAAACGACGCGGAAAACTAGCGGCAGTCCGCAGTGAGGTTCAGGGCTCGAATTCCGTGCTGGAAACTACCGGGTCACACCTGACTGAGGATTTTCTACCCCTTTTCCTTGGGACATAGTTTATTTTAGTTGTACGAGTATTTGATTTTAATTAAATTTCCGCAACTTTGTCACAATTTGTTTGTGTTTTTAGACCCGACCCCGAACCTTTCAGTTCTTCAGTTCAGTTCGCGTGTGGCTCTGGTCGATTGCTTTGTTTGCTTTGCTCGAGCATTGTGGATGGGAATGTGGAAAGTTGTCCCCTTAATTGTCAGCCAAACACCTTGGCAGGTGTCGCTGGTTATGGGCAGGTTAGTTGTGCTGTGACGTATGTGGCCCAAGGAGCGGGCGCTCTTCTATACCCCTGAATCGTATCTACGGCTCAAGCTCCTCCGTTCGGTCTGCCCCATCTCGTCCTCCGGCTCTCGAATGTGCTCCAGGCTCTGCAGCACTTGTTGTGAGCGTGTCAGATGAGTTCGCTCTGAAAACCACGAGATATAGGGAATGGGAAAGGGGAATTATCTTTATAGAAGGACTTACCCAATTCGTCGGCTATTTCCACAATTGTTGCTAGGGGTTGGCCATTCTCATCCACAACGTTAGGCATTCTCAGAAAATTGGGGCTATTTTTGTTGTTGTTGAATTTTGTGTACTATTTTCGAATGAATGTTTTGTTATGGCCCTTAATGTGGAAATGTGATCTGTCAAGCCCTGCCTAGGATTCGATTTCGATTTTCGATACTTTGATTTGGTGACTGTCATCTCTTTCTGGCCATTGTGTGCCTTCTCTTTCTGTTCATTGTGTGTGCCAATTATTACGCCTGATTTAATAAGCTCAATGGGTCTCTTAACTGCTCTAAGTGGCAGCTAATCGTTTCGGTGCCGAAGAAAAGTGAAAAGGAAAATGGAAATAAAATTGTTGTGCGCGTTGCGAATGTTGCGACTGTGACAGGGAAAGCACATCAAACGAAATTGATGACAATTGAAGCTCTCCTTACCAACCAAGGAGTGACTGACTGCTCCATCTACATTTCCATTTCTGTCCTGCTGCTCCGGTACAGAAGACAGAAGTCTGACGAAGGATGCCTCATTTACGCTAAACGGAACGGAAGCCGGAAACGCGCCGCAAATTGCAAAGTTTGAGCAGCACTTTTGCTCTCTCTGTCTCTGTTTCCTTCGCTATGGCTCCGTCTCGCTCTGGAAATTAATATTATTTTCGGTTTTTATCCCCTGGCGGGAAATTGAGAGCAATTTTCTTTGCACTTTTCGCATTTCCCCATGATTATAATAAATGCGAATTTCCTCGGCCATTTCCTTGGCTTTTTTGATGACGATTTGGATTTGAAGGCGTGACCAGGCTCTGCCATTCAGCTCTTTGTTTAATACCCTGTCCATATCCATGAACTCATATTTCCATGAGTGGAGCCATTTTTTGTCGGGGATTTTGCTTTATTTTTTCTCGCTTTCTGCATGAGCAACTTCAAGGACAAGGACACGGCCGAAAATTCAAGTGCATGGCACTTGAAATAACAGAGAAATAACCGAGAATGAAAGGACAATGGACAACGGACACTGGACAGAGCGAAGCGGACAGCGTGACAAAGGCAGTGTGAAACTGTCATTTGTGTGTGAGTGGAGAAAGAGACGTATAGACGTACATATACGTATAGTACCTTCTATAGGGTTAAATCAGGCGCATAATTATCATTGCCCTGGGCTCACGTGTGAGCGGACTTAGGCCCGGGACATGTGAAAAGGTGAAAGGTCGAGGGGATAAGCGTTTGAGATTGTGTTCGAGTGTGGGATTTCGACGGCAGATGAGAGCAGGCTGGAGTGGAATGGAGGGAACTGCACAGCTTATTCAAATTTGCTAAAGACACGCATTATTTGTGCTAATTTGTGGGCAATTTCCTAATAGATACTCGTACTTTTCGCACATAATGCCAACACCATTAAATTCGCAAGTGTTTTCGGCAAGCTGCTTAAACTATTCACAGACCCCAGCGAAGGATTCACAGATCTCACAGAGTTGACGCTCAAGACTTACTCAGATTACGGATAGTACTGTAAATGCGTTCCAGAGCGAAACCGTTTCCAAAGCAGCGGTTTCTGGGGCGAATGGGAACTCGCAGGTCAGAACAACCCCAGTCGGGGTAAGCCAACAGGGCATTTGATGGAACCAAGTCTATTAGAGTCAATTAGCGAGCGATTATAATGACTGGGCATCCCTCTGTGTCAGGCAGCCCTCT